ACTTCGCATGTTTCCATCAAAAAAGGTATATTTCGTTTCAGATTTTATCGTTTTGGTGAATGGGTAGAAGTGGTAGTCGATGATTACCTTCCCACAAAAAACCGCCGTCTTATATATGCTCACTCAAAAAATCCTAAAGAAATGTGGTGTTCATTGCTTGAAAAAGCTTATGCGAAACTTCGCAAATGTTATGAAGCACTGGAAGGTGGGTTATCTTCCGATGCTCTTGTTGATCTAACAGGTGCTGTTCCTGAAACTATTCAATTAAATTCTGATGATGAGGACGGTATCCTGAAAAAAATGGGTGAAAAAAAATTAATTGCTATGATGAAAGTTGCCATTAAAGAAAAAACACTGATGAGTTGTTCTATTGATGTGCTTGAGGATGAAATTCAACAAGAAAGGTTACCTAATGGTTTAGTTGTTGGGGTAAGTAATTGATATATAATTGGTGCTGTAAAGTTATTAAGTTTATCGTGTGATTTCTAGTTTCAAAGATAGTAATATATTGTTTTTAGCATGCGTATGGTATTACAAATATACAAGTACTCAGAGTTGGTAGTACGTTTAAAAAGAATGAAATTATTCTTGTACGTCTACATAACCCATGGGGTGAAGTAGAATGGAATGGTCCTTGGTCTGATAAATCTCCAAAATGGAATGACATTTCTAATTCTAACCGTAAACAATTAGGATTTACTATCGCGGATGATGGTGATTTCTGGATGGTAAATTTTCCTTTCTTAAAAATTTGTTTTATCAATAATCAATAATTTTACCATATTATTATGTATAATATTTTTAGTCATTCCAAGATTTTATATCCAATTTTTCGACTCTTACAATTTGTCGTTGTATTAACACATCATTATTAACATTTGGGCGACGTTGGCATGGTGTAATGTTTCGTGGAGAATGGTCAATTGAAAATGAAACAGCTGGTGGATGTATTAACAATGCAGAAACATTTTACCAAAACCCACAATATTCTATTAGAATTCACAAACCCACTTTCTTAATAATATCATTAATGCAACAAGACAATCACGTAGAAATTGGTGCCGAAAAAATCACAATAGGATTCATTCTTCTTAAAGTTGAATTAAATCGTAAATATCGAATTCATAAACCTACATATGAAACTGCAGGTCGAGTAACCTATATTAATATTCGTGAAGTTACAGAAAGAATTTTCTTGAAACCGGGACACTATATTTTAATTCCTTCTTCATATGATGTTGGTGAAGAAGGTTCATATTTCATGCGTTTATTTTCTTCAAATTCTATAAATATTAGATTACTTAAAAATGATTCTCCAAAAAGGAAATGGTATTATCCATTATTTTATCATGGAAAACCTTATTTTATTGGGATTGTAAGAGTTCAGATATTAGGTGGTCAATTTAAACGTCACATAGATAAAACATATATTAAAATAACATTTATGGATTTTAAAAAGAAAGTAATTTCACAAATAACACCAATGTTTAATACTGGAAAATCTGAACTTGATACA